AACTGAAGGGAGCAGCCAGCCAAACAAAATGATTTAAGGATTCACTACATCCAACCTTCCATCGCAATCCTGCTAGACGCGGCGCAGCCCTTCCGTAAGAGACCTGCTCCTGTTCACAAGGGTGTGTTTCACTTACCATGGCGATAAGAATATGATCAATGCTGCGGTTTGACGCATACCGTGAAGTATCGTGCTTCGGGAACAATGAGTGCATACTATTTATTTTTACATGACACAGTATTTATTACACATATTTATCATCATTTTCTACAACATATATAATGAATATCAATTAGTGGTTTCATGCCCACGCTGAGCTCAGCTGTTGGAAATATTTATCTGTGACAACTTGACGTAACGCTTGATTTTCACAGTTGCCTTTGTTTAGGATAATAATTCTGCCACAGTTCGATACCGGAGTCACTTTTAAGCGCGCCTTAAGCGTCACAATAGAAATTATAAATAACGATGCGACAAACCTGAAAAAAGATTGATGATACAGAGTGGACAGTTGCATTGATGAGATTGCCCAGAGCAGTAACTCGTTTGTGTGTCACAAGCACCATGCACCATAAGCAGACCTCTTTTGAGACCAGTGATCCTAATCTACGTGCATTTTTGACTGGCAAATAAATAATTTTTATTAGATTAGATGATCAACGACTTTTGGCTTTATCGTAACAAAAACCCTAACTTTTAAAATGCTGCGAGCTTCGACGGAGTGCGGTAGTTTTACTCGAATTCCCACGGCGAACGGCTGTGATTTCTGCCACATTACAGTAATCTCTTGATGAACACCCAAGCCCCTTCGTACTGGAGCGAGGCATGCCGTTCGGGTCGGACCTTTTGAGAACCTTCATTCCTAATGCTAGTAGCTAACTATTAGTTATAAGGAATTTTCGATCTAGCATGACGCAGATGGGAAATGTATTCTGAAACGATCGTCGATCATACTTCGCATTGACGCAAATTCCACGTACACGATGGGACATTACAGCAATATCCGAAATCTTCACATGAGGAGAATCCAGAAACTCGATTACTCGTCCTCCGTGTATCAACGGCTTAGAAATTGTGTCACTTTAAAGTAAAGAATAAAGAGTAAAGTTTTTAATGTTTGGTGAATCGTTTTTAGGAATCGCCAGCACGGACTCGGTCTTCATACGGAATCGTTGTGGCGTTTGAAAGAGTACCTAGCCAACTCGGAGACTAGGGTCAACTGACATGTAAGCGCTTTCATCTTCCTACACGGATTCATTACTTTTTGACCACTCTGGAGGAATGGATGGTTTGGTTGGGTAAGGCTCCAACTCACCCTTTTCTGAAATCGAAAAGTGAAGGTCACAGTGGGCTTTCATAGAACTTCCAAAATGAGGCTCGAGAAAGTCTATAAACCAAGCTGACTGTTTGTAAATTTTGTAAATACGAACTCACAGTGAAATGTTCAGTTCAAATAAAGCGTAGACGATTTGACCTGAGAGACTATCCGGCTGATAATAATGATATACTAGCACTACCATAGCACCAGGAATTAGTGTCCAAATAGTAAAAATTAGTGATGCATTTCTTATTAACTGTAATTGAAATATTCAGAGACTAACCAGAATAATGATAATTAATTCTTGTATTGTAACTATATATGTCTATAATGTATACTCACATTTCTTCCGCTAACAACCACCTATACATTCAATGTCAATGCGATGAGCATAGGAGGAAGAGTGGAAGACAGTTTGTATTCGAACGAAAAGGATTGTAAGACTTGTGCAGAGAATCGTGATTTCGCGCGCGGCAACAAGTCGATTAAATGTATTTCACATGATCAAGCACCTTGGTGTGGTGCCAAGACAAGGGTCAGTGGAAAGGAAGGTGTAGATCCCATTCTACTGCTACAGAATGTGCCCAACGAAGAGCAGACTCGCAACCCTTAGTCAATAAGAATGGGATGTTTTGACATTATCCGCTGCACTACTTAGAACTAACTCAGGTTTGAGGTAAATTTTTAGGGTTTTCTTTTTCCTAGAATACCCAGTGGCCCGAATGGCAACATAAACTCTGCTGTCGGGACGAAAAACTCAATAGAAAGGGCATAAAATGAAGCTCATTACCGGACTCGTCGAAGCCCACGCCTATTGAGCGATAATGTGAGGTGACGCAGGATTCGCTATTCGCAACAGGACCATGTTCAGCATGCAATCAGCTGATCGCTTGGTGGTGAGGGGACGTTTTGCCGTTACTCTGTTAATCTTTTTGCTGCTGCGGTCATTCTTCTAGTTCTCCACCTCACGAGGATTGAAAAAGTGAATAATTTTTGCCTACATCTTTGCCTACATCGTACTATTCTCCACCTTCTGTTTCATTTTTCTACCGCATGGGGCACTATCTAAGAAATTAGGGTAAGATGGAGTTAAAACTCGGGAATCCTCGGAGTCTTTGACCATCAAAGCCACAAAACACGTCTTCAGTAACAAAAGTGGCTTGAAATTCAAGTCAATAAAATACCTTGAGTACTCGCAAATTTTCAACAAGTTGAAATCTTCTACTAAGCTCATAACGAATAAGCTTTTTCATGACGAAATCGTTGAATCGCATACTATCGCGACGGTACAATGACACGAACACTAACGAGAACACAAAACACACTCCAATACAAAGCAGTGCCACTTTGTCCAAACCCGCAATTCCTGAAATAGAAGAGATTGCAAAAGGTAACAAAAAATTAAAAAACTTAAGGGCGTCGGCCAATCCCCTGAGATGAGTGATTCTGATCAAAATCGCGGGACTTTGCAAAGCTGCAGACAGTTAGCATGTCGGAAAAGCTCTCGATGTTTACCTGGTGCTCCCAAGTCCTATGTCTTAACCATGGTAGGGCAAGGATAAACGGTAAGCCCGCCAATATTAGGTCTCAGCATTACCGTCAAAAGCCGATTGGGACGTCAGAGACACTCAGATTCCTTGTCTGTTAAAGGGCAACATAATGTGCTAAGGTTACTGATCCAGGTTACATTTGCTCCCGGATAACTGGGCACAATCGCACCTCCTCTCTTTTTCAAAACTTACACTTCGTTTTATGATGTGGGACTAAAGGTTCGGATGTTCAGACTCATCTAAGAATGTGATTCTTACCGACGANGCCAATATTAGGTCTCAGCATTACCGTCAAAAGCCGATTGGGACGTCAGAGACACTCAGATTCCTTGTCTGTTAAAGGGCAACATAATGTGCTAAGGTTACTGATCCAGAATACATTTGCTCCCGGGTACAATCGCACCTCCTATTCCCCTCTCTTTTTCAAAACTTACACTTCCTTTTATGATGTGGGACTAAAGGTTCGGATGTTCAGACTCATCTAAGAATGTGATTCTTACCGACGACGATGATATATTCAACTAATGAGAAACTCACGCACCGTAGATTAGTGGAATGGTGTAGCACAATGAGAGAATACATGCTGACGAAACTGCTATTATCGCCACCCATACTCGTGATTTTGCCTCATAATCATCGATGTAATGCGAAGCAAAGAAACGTTCGATCAGCAATGATGGGTATACGGTGGCGCTAGTTGTTTTGAAAAACACACATGCAAAGCAAATGGCTATGAATACCGAAGGAAATTCGATTTCTCCTGAAATAGATAGAACTTTCTGAAAACGATAGAACACTTTCTTCTGATAGTGATCAAGTTCGGCCAGATCCATAGAATCCATATGATGTACTTGGATGTCAGTCTCTTGGGTTGTTGTATCACAATACCCTAACGATATGTTAAGCTCATGAGCATCATATTGAAAGAGTTTACCTCGAGCTTTCAACCTGGGACGTATCGTGTTGCAGTGTCAATCTTATCATGTTTACCCCTGGAAGCGTAAGGTCCCTCCTCAGTTCAATTTTTGCCTTCACACAAGTCGTTGGTGGAAATCGGGGTGGCACCGCGCAAGATGAGAATGGTCCGTGAGCTGCAGCTAAACGAGTAGCTGCACTCAGTAGTAATGACTATAGTAGACAGCGTTAGAGTAGTCTACCGTTAGAGTAGTCTGAGATGGTAAAGACCTCTGACATACCGTAACTGGGGAAGTTGATCCAAAAACTGATTTGCCATAACTGGGCGCTGGCCTCGCTCAAACTTTATATTGCTCCTCTCGCAGCGAACGCTGGATGCCAAGATCAGTCTTGACCATATTTGCTCGAGCCATCCTTCTCTCTTGTTCTGAAGGACGGAACGGGTAGACACTAAGGGGGGTGTTTGCATGCTTCTCCATCTCCAGATGCAGATGCAGATCCAGATGCATGTGTTTCAAAGATTTATGTTTGATTTTCGTACTATTAGCTTAGCGACTGGAGTTTCTGAGTTGATGTCATTCTACCAGCTGATGAGGAAGACGCTTCATACTTATTCACTGACTGTGTTCATCCTCAAGTACACAGGATGGCCAATCACGGACTTGTTTTAGCTTTGTTTTTCGGTCCATACATAATTTTAAATTATACTTTTGATTTGTCTGATACTGTCCAGTATATAATTAAAAATTAAGTTGCAGTACTGTTTAGCTACCGAGGATGTAAACTCACCTCCGACATCTATGAATCCCAACTCGTAAAGGATAAGAACCAAACGAAAAAGCTGCTCCATATAGAGTGCGCAGTAAAGGCTCTAAATCACAAAAATGCAGCTGATTTTTATGTCCTCATTCGTCGAGTTCTTTCCAGATTTCGAAAAGACCATGTCTTAATGCAAGGGGTAGCAGTCAGCGATTTTCAAGTTACATGGCAACAGTTACATCTCGATTCTTACCTTACTCGATTTCTTACCCGATGTCGGAGCTCTTCTGAAATAAAATTGTGATTCGGTGAGTCCCCTCTCGTGAGCAGGATTTCTATAGTGTCATGTAGACTCCACCAATTTGACTTCAAGTCTCATCCAGCCCAAACTAGATAGACCTCTTCAGGTGCTTCTTCAGTTACTGCCGTTATTCGGGACTGATATACAAGCAGAAGCAAATTTAATAAGGTAACTATTTATGATGGCTCTACCGGTAGTAAGTTATGATGGTGGTTTTATACAAAAAATGATTGTGGAACGATACGAACGTCTTTGTCAGAGTTGTGAACTTCTCCCCCTAACGACTCCCACCATGAAAACTTAAAAGTCCTTCCTTCAGCTGCTACGCCCATCCTACACTGTTTGAAAAAAATTTATGAATTTTCGATCCCATCCTCGCTCACCTCAGTGCTAGCCCCTCCCACTTTGACGATTTGCCCGTTGCTCCTATATCTTCTTTTGTGAACGGGGCTTGACTGAGCCCACACGTGCTGTGCTGATCTTACCCTATGGCTAATCCCGAACTTTAGGTGATATCGAATTTGCGACAGACAAACAACAACAGACGACAACAACAAACAGGCACGATCACGCTAGCTAATATAATACACAGGCATACCTACACACATATTACACCTACACATGCACATACACATAAACACATGAACATACATATGCGCATATTACATATACATATCTATACTAGTACATATACATATGTCCATACAAATACATATACACATACACATGAACACATACACACATACACAAACAGACATGACCATGCCCATGTTTCACACCTATACACACGAGCATAATCATGTTTGTACTCGTGCACATGCACATACCTATACGCATACACATACACATGTTGCACCTCAAATAATCGTGTTTATACACGGGCACATACACATTCTTATACACACACGCACACGCATACACAAGACAATACACATACATATCCACATATACATACACATGCTTATACTTATGCATACCTATACATACATACACATACAAGCACATACATATACATATTCCTTTCTCTTTCCTCATATTACCCACTTATCTATCCCCTGCAACATAAATTTAAATGTGTGTTATGGAAATGTAGGGAAAGATAGAAACCCTCATGGGTGAACCTTTGATTCTTAAAACTCTCTCAGTTTGGGTATCAAAAAGTGAAAGTCCAATAGAAGTAGAAAGATATCTATTTGGACTTCTAACGCATAGCCAGGGGCGTAGAGTTCCCTAACCAAATGCCACATCTCTGTTATTCATCAGCGATACCCCCAACATAGGGGTTATGCTTACAAGAATATTTGAGAAACAAGAAGGAGAAACAATAGCATACCTTGATGATAATGATAACATTACGATGAAACGGAGGAGATTTATCGAGAACACACCAACATTTCCATAGTAATGGTGCAGTAAGAACAGTTAGGGCACCCTCGATACTGTAGAATATGTAGAATATGGGTGTAGCCGTCAATGACAGGTCTGAGGCGAAAACTATAGGAAATACTCGATTTCCAAGAATCGGAAAGACAACCTTCATTGTCTTAAGACGTGACAGGAATGATAGTTTTGCAGAGTGTGCTACAATCAACACTGTCAACTGTAAACAAAATGCGGATAAACGTAAGTGAATCAGATACTACACTCCGCCTCTTTTTGGAAATGCTTTTCATTGCTACTTTATTCAGCTTCAAATACTTTGCATAAAATGCGTGCCAAAGCCCAGGAAATTGAATTCAAGGGTGTAGATATGGATTACGTAAACAAGGAAATAAATAAAAGGGACCGTAGTCAAGCTGTGATATACGGTCATGGAGTTTTTGCTTCGAGAAGAACGAGACTAATTACTCAATTACCGAAATACCTATAAAAGTTAATTTACCTTTTGATCGTTGTTGTTTCGATAGCTGCATATTGTTTCTATTGGGAAAGTTCCATACCACTATTATATTGGATCCCGGATCGATAATCCGCCTAGGCCAACCAGGCCTTCCAGAGTACTGGTACCAGAGTCGTTTGGGAGGATAAAAGCACTGACTTGTACATATATCGGGCAACCACCGTAAGTCATTGTATATTCCACATACACACGCACTCATTACGCCACTACGATTCGGAATGGGAGTCGAGTGCGGGGGCGCATCCCTCAGACGGGATTGATTAAGGCCAAAGTCTTTTTATCCTATGATATTGAAGCTGCTGACATTGTAACAGCTGTACCACTTACCATATCACCGCTGACCGTGATTTCTGAATAACGTATTTATCCTTCAATCTGCACCCCTTCGGACTGTTAGGTTGTAAAGAATAGTACGAATCCGTATGCTCATAGCCATAATGCCCGTTGGCTGCAACGCATACACCTCTGACGCATGTCCTATAACCCTTCTTATCCAGTTCAAAAAAGAACGTGTAGCAGATGGGTATCTTCCCATTTCGGCCGTTTTGGCGTCCTATTCGACCTTCCTATCTTGCACTACCATATCTTCTATACGTATTCAAGACACAATCATTCGTACCGTCTCAGTCGTTCCTCATTAGTGCAGCCTGTAGCGAAACCAAAATTTTAGCAGCCCCTCATGAATGATCCCAGCCAACGAGGAAGTGCTGGTCAGTCCTTCAGGTTCAGAGCACGAGGGTCAACTAATACTACTCTTTTCAGCATATAGGTGTTCACTAGTAGCTTGTCAGGCAAGATTGATAGTTGGATACGCTCTGGGTGGTTAGTTACACCGTCTCGATGTGGCGGTGGACATCCTTATGGTTAGACAAGAGTGCCCATGTTTTGAATTCGAGTGCATTCGTGGGCAAGTACTCGCTGGCTTTACTCTCTGCAATTCACTTCCAGTTCCCTTATAGCGTTACCAGATATCAACCAGCTAAAGATACCCTATTGAGCGAGGACCTTCGAAAGAAAAAGGATATCACAGAAATCGGCACAAGCTGGTTTTTTGATTTGTAAAGCCTCCTTTTTGCTAACTTACTTCACGTCGGCTGCTAGGATTCTACACCACTGGAGACACTTCCAGCGTCACATTGGCCTGCAAATGAATGATTGTTGGGTAATTTGGATTACCATGGTTTCAAACTCATTCTTCATGAATGACTACGTAATTAAATTGCTACTCGTCTAACCTAATGGGAAACTTCAATCGGGTAGAAGGGATTTGTAACTAGAAAGCAAACCTTATTCACTACGACTTCTATGTTGTTTTGTAAAGGAATGACTGCTATAAAATAATCAAAATGCCTGCCTACAATAGATCTCGGGATACACTTACATACACAGGGTCCTTGAGTCACGTCCGCCCAGAGATATCAAAGTTTCACGCTCTTCTGCTCGGATCCTTTTACTTCGGGAGTCAATTACCCCTCCTTACCTTTGAGGACGGAGGTGGTGTAGTGATAAGTGGCGCACTACCACACACACACGGTCATGGGTGCAAATCCCTGACCGATATTCGCCAGAGCCAAGCAACCCATCCCTCTCTTAGAGGTCGTTTAATTGGTACCAGACTTGTCTGGGAGAATAAAAGCGCTGACTTGTACATTGGCTGGCCACCGCAAGTAATTGTATAGGTGACATACGCATTCAATACGCCACTACGATTCTGAATGGAAGTCGAATGCGGGGACACATCCCTCAGATGGGGTCGGTTCGCTACGAGGCTTAACCCTTATCCTTTGACTGAGTAGAATAGAATGCTCAGAATCGGTAAGTTCACCCCCACGACTCTGTTTCCTCCACTAAACTCTCCGTGGAGCTTCTGCAAAAAAAATGACATTCATTTTCAAAGGAGCTCTCCTGAAAACATCGCTCTTGCTAATAAATGGCATTCGTGATTTTCACTTCTTTATTGGCTGTGGTTCACTCGTTTTTTGGCTTTATGGTTGTGTTGCTAATTAAGGAGTTGATTATTTCTAACTCCCTTTCACGGAAGGAAAAGACTTTCGACTCCTCCCGCCATTCGTCTTTTATCTCAGCAATTCGCTGGTCGTTTCTTGGACGAGAAACAGGATTGATCATCAGCTCTCATTTCTGGTGTTAGACGTACGCCTTAGCGTCTACTCATGTTTCACATAGCAGGTTAATGTCAATAAAAACGGGCTTTTTTACGGGTACGTATGCATGTCTTGCTCTGCGAGATTCATGTTCAGGATCTACCCCGGAATAGTCTCAGATAGTTGCATTACCCAGACTGACACCTCAACTGTCATCTCCAGAGACAGAACCCATTTAAAGGCACAGTTCACGATAATCTTAAGGTACCCCATTTTACTCAAGAAGAGGAAGTATAGGTTGGGATTAGTTCATCGGTAGTGAAGAAATCGAGAAAATCCGCAATTTTGAGAAAAAGAAGCATTTTCGTGGATTACCAAAGGAAAAATGTAAGGGCGAAAAGGAGCGATACTACATAGATGTGCGTAATAGTATTGTTTAAGTAAAACCTATTGCGCAGTGCAGTCACAATATCAGAAAACCAATTACCAAGTTAACGATGTGACAACAATATTAAATATTATAATGCAAATTTCATTATTTATGAACATTTACAAATGGCTGTCGTTTGCAGACGTCGTCGCTAACTGGGGATGCTGGTGTTGAGAGGAGCTTGGTTCTTTGCAGCTATTTGCGGCTGACGTCTCACGGCTTTTTGACGTCAGCTTTTTTCCTCAATGATGAAGACGGTATTTTGACAGTATTGGTGGCTCTTGCTCTATATGTTGGAACATTTTGGTCGTATTATGAAGAGTGTATTTTCAGAAGTCGAGAGGGAGTCATCTCTTGC